CTCTCGTTCCCGCTGTCTTTCTCTCTCTCGCTCCCTTTCCCGTTCTTTCTCCCGCTCCCTCTCCAGCTCCCACTGTCGCTCTCTTTCATCTTCTTTTTCACGTTCCTCTCGCCGCCTCGTGCGCATTCTTTCTTGTTTGTCGACAACAGCTTTCTGAATTAAAAAAATAAATGAATGAAGTCAACACAACAGGCCTAACAGGGAGACAAACCCCCGAATCTGTTCTTATCCCTCACATCTTATGACTTTCTGAACTGATCAAACTTGTTTGATGTGCAAATTAATTCTTCTTGTTTTCGATTTGATTCCTTACGTGTTTCTTGTCACTTTGAAGCTTTATTTGGAAAAGTGATATATAAATGAAATGACTAAATTGGATACAGCTGCGCATACTGCCTCCTTAACTGTAGTTTTTATAACACTGTACAGATACATTTGTGGTACTAATCAATACTCATGCATATAGTAGCATAGACCTGCTCCAGGACATCCTTACCCTTAGCTTTTCAAGCTTCTCACGGATTTCAATAAAACCGAGGTGCAGCTTCCCCCCAAAGTGGTCAGCCAGGCGGCGGTCATTGTCATGGAGACCCAAGTAGGCAGAGCACACCTCACACACTCGCAGTTTTTGCTGTTGAAAGCTTGAGGCAGGCATTGAGTTCCGGTAAATATCCTGCAGTCACAAATGTTATGGTTATAAGGAGCAGAATAAAAATTGTTCAACCTGCATCTCATTATTCGGACCTATTATGCAAGCTGCAGATTGGGAGCTGATAAAATGTGTGTCCGATATGAGTTCTGTTACTTTGTGAAGAGCGTGAAGCTGCTCTACTCAGACAGGCAGGTTAACACTGGCATGAACCATGAACTCGCTGTCATTAAACCACACATTTAACCTTCATCAATGGTGTACACAGACTAGGCCATCTGTTCCACCTACGAGTGCATCCGATCCCCAAAGTCTGGTTCACTTAACTAGTGTGTTTGCTGTGACTGCGCCCTGGTCCGGTGCTGTTGGAGTCAGGCACAGTATACATGTAGTGTGATCCCCACAGGACAGATCCCCAATCCCAAAACCACTTTATTTCTTAAGTAATTAACAACTGAGAGGACAGTGTGTCATTTACTTCCCCAACAGTGCCACAAAAAGCATTAAAAATCACAAAATTTTCACAAGTAAATGGCATGAAAGAGAGACCAGGTGTGACAGGAGTTGAGATGGTGAAACAAACTGGTGTTTACTCAGGCACGGACACATAAGTAGAGTAACTGCGAGTGGGGCTGGTGAGCAAATGTGCTCGAGAACAGTAAACAGAAATTGCACCTCTCATGTGGCTGCAAACATCTTACCACTTATCACTTAGGTAGGTAACACATTTCTAACCTCTGCTTCCTTCTTTAATGCCCGGGTCTTTTCCACTTTTTCCAGCAGCTGCTGGGCCTCTTCTACATTCCCCTCGCCTCCCAGCTGCTCTGCCCGGGCCAGCAGCTTCCCGATCTCTTCGTTAAGCTCGTGGACACGTTCAGCCTTTTCATGAAAGGAAACAAAAAGAAAAGAAAAGAATGCTAAGCTAATAGTTTTTAGGCAGTGTGTAGACTTTTCCTGTGATAATTAGAGCTAAAAATGTCAACAGTGCGTCACCTTCGCAGCCACTTCAGCGCTGATCTCATCCTGTGTTTCTGCTAGTCTTTTCTTGGCCAGCTCAGTTCTGCGGTCACAGTCAGCAATGAAAGACTGAAGGTGTTCAGCGGCCTGAGAAAAAAATACAGAAATAACCGAGAAATATTATATTGCAGGATTCTCAAGAATATTTAACAGTGGCTGAACTAAATAGTCTGTACCTGCTATGAAGTGAGTTTATAAACGCGGCTATAAAACATTCAGTTTCCAAACATTTCCTGCTCTCATCTTCAGCAGTTGTTTAAAGCTTAATAGCAGCACTTACACCATACGTTTGATAAGCCTGGAGAGAGGGATGCCTTCTCATTAACATCTTAATGTGGTGTGGACTAATTTACCACCTTCCAGGCTATTCTATGACATCAAAGTAGCCTTGTAAGCAAGGATGTTGTGAACTGTGTTAATGAAAAAAGAAGCTTATCAACCCTTTGGAATTACCAGGATTACTGATTTAATTACTCAAATATGGTTTCATCTTCAGCCAAGTCAAAATGACAAAAAACACAAAGTTTTACTTTAATGTCCACAAAAAACACAGTGACTTAAAATATATACTTCAGTGCTGGGAAAGGTAAGTGAACTTTTTGCTAATGACTTCTGGAAAAGCTATGTCGGACATCAGTCCACAAAAAAGATAAGCTAAAGACAGCAGACTACAAAATTGTGGAGCATGGTGGTTTGATTCTGCTTTGCTAAACCAGGGCTTGAGCACCAAGTGAGGAACTATACATTTACATTGGTATTAGGAAATTTTACTTGGAAATGTCAGGGCGGCAGACCATGACCTGAAGCTTAGCAAAGACTGAGTGACACAACAAGACAGTCATCAAAAGACCAATGGTGACTGGTGCTGCTAAAAGAGGCTTGAGTTACAATTCAAGGGTTAACTTTACTCAGTGAGTTCCTATGTTCAATAAATGCATGAAAACCGAAGTGACATAACTTGTCAGTTACTCTGAAGTCCATGAGTCTGTAATACATAGACCAGACAACCATATTTTATGAGTGATTTGATGAATAACCTCTACAGAACCTCTGCTAATGCTAGAGGCATTTTTTGCAAATGTAAAGGAAAGTAAATTTGAAGTGTGCAAAAATATTGATTAACGTCTTTCACTAATAACCCTCTTGATCAAAAATTATGATGATCCTGAGTTAAAATTAAATACATAATTATTCTTGAACCGGAATTAGTTTTTCTGTGTTAGGACATTCCAGTAAGTTTGGACACAGGAAAACTTACTGTGTCCAAACTTACATTCATATGAACAAATGAGGGTGTCCTACCTTCTGACTAGTAGTGTGTATTTCTGTGTGTTTCTGAACAGTCTTTTAGGTAGAGCTTGAAACTAACTTTCTCAAGAAAAGTCTTAGCAATCAAAGTAGATGTAGTGAGTTCAACAAGACATTCAAGAGAATATCTTTGTGGGTGTGTGCGTACAACTTACATCAAGTTCAAAGAAGTATTCCTGCTCCTTAGAGGCAATCTCGTAATCAGCTCGGAGTGCCAAGTCATGCACTTTCATGCACTCTCCCAGGTCCATTCTCTACAGGAATCAAAATGACAATGATGTTAGCTGACTGCCTCATTTTACTCGTACGTTTTAGCCCAAAATCTGAAGAAGAACAAAAAAGCTACAAGATAAAATGTCCTGGACACAAGAATTTTCACTGATGTCACACTAAAGAATCCAAATGTGATACCCTTTAACTTGAAGCAAAGCTAACACAGGTCTGATGATTTCCATATACACTATTCAAACTATCTGTTTATATTCAGTGCTCTAGGAATTAAATTGACTGTCAGTTTTAATTTGTAGATGTTCAACTTCGGAAGAGTCTTTTTGAGTCCAGTCCAGTCGAAGTTAAGGAACAGAAAGTAAGAGGATAAGTCAATGAATAAAAGCAACAACACATCATCGGAGTGGTAAAATGAATCCATCTCACGATCTGGCTCTAATCCCAACTCATATTTGTAATTAAAACAAAGTCTATGACTCTCAGGCCACATCCCCACTAATACATTTGAATGTTTAAGTACAGTTTTAAATGAGACCAAACCAGCCTTTTTTTCAGCAGCCAATCAAAGAAAAAGCTCACCTCAGAGTCGTTGGCCTTGTGAGGAAGATAAAGCCGCATGTTTTAGAAAGTGAAACTGTGCGCTAGCTAGTGTGTTATGCAAAGCTGTTCTAGTAGAGTGGATCAGTAAAAATAGAAATGCTTATTAGTATGTTTGGATATGTGTTTATTTCCCATATATATAAAAGTTATTTCATTTCAACCCCATTGACAATGAAGTAGAGCTCAAACACATCTCAGCTCTCCATACATTTCCTGTCAGCCTTGTGTGTGTGACTGTATTTACTGTATATATTATACGGCTGTGTGTAAATATGATAAAGCTCTCCTCTGTGTGTTCAGGCGTGCGTAGACACGATACTCACGGTGCCTGAGAGGATGTCATGAGGACATGAATCCAAGAGGTGACTTTTGCAGACTCGCTCATCTGTGAATTTGATTCTCTGCCGCATGGTGTCACCTTTACAAAAAAAGAAGGAAACCAGAAAAGCAGGCGTTCATGAAAAGTACAGTATTTTACTATCATACTGGGTTATTAGCCCGCACCTGTGACTGATTAAGTCATACATCTCTAACCACTGTAGCATCCAGGTACAGTAAACGTGTCCGATAAAACTCCTTGTGGTTAAAAAAATAATAATAAAAAAAAAATACTAGGGAGGAAATGGAGGGAAGAAAAAATGAACACATGACTATGAGCCAAATAAAATGCCGACATGATGTTTGTTTTGGATTGGTTTTGTAACAGATGTGTGCGACAACCTAACTTGCCAAGCAAACTTAAATACAACAGGTAGCTAGCCGGCTAGTTAGCATGATTTGTAAAGCATGCCGCACTGTCACCATAAAGTATGCTGGTTAGCTTGTCGGCTAATGCTAGCAACAGTCATACACGCTGCTGATTTTGTAAGTAACCAATCTCAAACACAGCGAGGCCCCTCTCACCGTCTCTCCCCGTCCCCATGAGCTGGTCCAGCATCGCTCGCATCTGTGCCTGGGCCGACATGTTTATGAGTGCTCAGATAACGTCGCCAGCAGCGGTCTTCAACACATGCAGCCTCCTCAACTGCAAGGCCTCGTCTCTTCCTCCAACAGCACCGACCGCGGATAAGTTTTCCCACCAAGAGGAAGACTCCGAGCCTTTAACCAGCGAGCTGCTTGTGTACAGCGTTACTTCAATGTACTGGTTATCCCTGCACTTCAACAAAAGCAAATAAATGTGACTTTGTGACGTTGGATGGCTTCGGGTCGGCCGAGCAAGTGCAACGTCTGTTTGAAAACTGCTGCCCGGGTCCGCCGGTCGGGTCGTGTGGTGAGTTGAGACAACGGTGACTGAATTTAGACGGGGCCTTTGTTCGCTAAGAAAATCTACACAGAAATAAGTAACCAGTTCCACTGTCACACAGACAGATTTCTAGCGAGTCAGCTAGAAGTTATCAAGTTTGTTCAGCGTCCTCTCTTCCTTCTTCCTATTCCCCCTCCATGCGCGTCCCCGCGGAGCGCGCTCTAGTGCAGCGGCGAAGGAAGTGCTGCAGTCAGCCTCGCGGGCTTGTTTGGTGACGTTACATATCACCAACAATTATTATTGTTATTATTATTATCATCCTGCTTTGTTTTTTTCTTAGTTTTTCGGTGTCCCCCCACACAAACATATAAACTGTTTAAAGTGTCTCTGATCTTACAAATAACACATAGAAACATGGTTGCAAAGCTAAAATGTTCAGGATATTTAGAAAATATGTGCTACTGTCACTGGCCAATACGTATAATAACTAATTTGATATTCACACATATATGAATATCAAAATGATTGGGATCCTAGAGCAGACTCATTGCACAACACTAAAGACTACCTAAAGTTATAAACATTGTGAATAAGACATTGAAAGTTACGATTTTTAATATGAGAAGGATTGGCTAGTCTCAAGTGCCCACTCCCAGCTGTGATAAGGGGGATGATATTTTGACACTTCACTCCATAGAGGCCTTTCTTGGTACCAGGCTGTAAACAAATGTTCTGCCATTATAACAATGAAGTCTGTGTGGGCTGACTTGCTTTTGGGCCCTGCCTCAAGTGGCCACTCTCAGAACAGCAGTTTTAGGCACGTCTGCATTAGCTTCATTTTACAGTCTGTCAGGCTGGTACATCATTCTTAATTTATGCTACTGTTGTGTCTGTTGCAGTCCTCCAAAATCCAAACATGATCAACATGGATGCTAGGAAGGAAAGGGAGTGGCAGCAGCATTCTTCTGGAATGGGAAAAGCACGAAAAGACATCAAAGTTTAAAAAGTAGACTATTAAAAGCACAGACAGTGGCTTTTTAACATAAGTTTCACTTCAGGTCTTCGTAATGTTACAACTTTGCTCTTCTCTGCAGCTGGATGATGGACCAGCAACAACTCCTTGTACCAGATATTTGAGACTGCCCCCACCTGACAACAGATGCACTCTGCAGGTAGATGGGCAGTCCTTAGCTGCCCATATACTGCCAATGCACTACCACTGCTGAACCATAGTTTCCTCATGAGTGTTACCTACTGCATCAGCTTGTAAAGAGTTGTGGCAGTGCATTCCTTTTTTCCATACGTTTTTTAGTTTCTCCACCTGTCTGCCTCAGTCTCATAAAAAGGACATGGCTTGAAAGCATTTAGGATTTTTTCCCCCTTTGATACAGTGAGGAGGGAATTAGACTTTGGTGGTCAAAGATCACTCTCCATTTCACCTGCTTTGGTGCTCATTCTGATTGTACAGGTAGAACAGCTCCTCCAAGAGGATGGCACATCAAAATCTGCAAATTTCAGCTCTCCGTAATGTTATGACTTAGAGATTTCAAGGGGCAGGCAAGTACACAAGGAGAGTTAGGACAGCAGACATTGTCAGCAATGACTAGTACTTTCTTCTTTGTTTGAGGAGGAACATGAGGAGCAGTGACCTCCAGAGGGTTACACAAATGTGCATGTTTCTAACCAAACTGTCACGAGTGACGTATGTCAATATAAAAGAAAAAAAAAAATCTTGAGACCTTAAGATAAACAAGGAGATCATTTAATTTGTTTTTTCTCATACTTTTTAAACTCATTTGTCTCATTGAGTCTAAAAAGTTGTTTCTGTCCAAACAGAGGTGATAAACATAAACACATAAACTGGCTGCAAGTCCTGATTTTACCCCAGTTTAAGATGCAAAGAATTATAACCATCGGCTAGTATTTTACGTTATTTCTCTTCAGTTTCAATCCTGATATTATAATAAGCTGATAACTGTGATTGGTTGCTTGTACAAAGGTTTACTGTGTTAAATATGAACATAGTAAATAGTTCCGTAAATTTTAAATAAAGTTTAAAAGGCCCTTAGTGACTTAACTTCAGCTATGTGTATTTTACGGCCACATGTATCTATCTGTAGCAGACCATTCAACTATAATAACAATACATTAGGATGGAATTACTCATCATTTACCTGTCAAACCGCAAGCTACGCCCATACAAGGCATTCCAGTCCTACCCATATGTGGTCCAACCCTTAGAAACGTCCCATTACCGTCACAAATACAGGAAAAATGGCGGCGAGTATGTTGCGGCTCCCGCTGCGACTTTCCTCCAGAAATATGGGGATAATGACCCGTAATACCGGCTTGAAGACCTCACATATACCCAGGACGACTCAAAGCAGGACCGCAGTGTCTACGCCGTCTGGAGCAATTCTACCGAAGCCGGAAAAAGTGAGTTTCCAACGTTCAGTTTACAGAGGTAGCCGACCGGAGTTTACGAGTGGGCGGGACAGCGGTGGTTTGACGGAAGCTTTGACGAATAGAAAGACAGGATACGCACCGGACTTGTTAAATCAGCAAATGAACGTTTGTTTTGTTAAAGGGAGAGGCTGTTAAAGGAAATAAGTCACTAGTAAATTTAAAGATCATTTATTATTCAAAGACTCGTTTTATTTGGCGAAATGTAGTGTTGTGTCGTTAAAAAATACGTCCGCTGGACAGCCGCTAATGTTGGCGAGTAATTTATAGACTTGAAGCCTAAACTCGTCGATGTTCGGGCAGGACATGTCCAGTTGGTCGCAATAAAAACACGTTAATAAGAGAAATTGATATTTAATGATCGATGGACGGAAACTGCCGTGAGGTCAAGGGCTAAAATGATCTGCTCTGTAACCACACACACGTCGTCCACTCTTTTTGGGCCTTCGACATTTGTATATGATTCTCTGCTGGAATCTGCTTCACGACTGTCTGAGGGCTGTTAACTCAAATACATGTATTCATATGGAGATACCCATCGACCATGCTTTCCGGAGCCAAGTCAACATGACTCAGAATAGAGCTTCAGTGTAAGGATGTAATGACCTGGTGACATCAGTTGTGCTTTTAGTGAAAGCATTTTGTGTTTCAGATATTCTGAAACACTCCTGCTAGTTTGGCCTCAGTTTTGTTTGTTTTTTACCTGGAAATTTGTAAAACGTCAGCTCTGTTACAACCAATCTCCCCTGAATCCAGCTGTGCCACAACACCTGCAGAAAACCTAGTTATGTTTAGTGATCTGAATAGTTCTTGCATCCTCTTGGTTTAGCCATAACTTTTCTCATTGTTTGATTTTTGCAGACACCATTTGGGCTCATCCGCATGACATTAGTGGTGGTGCCTTTCCTTTATGTGGGAAATCTGATCAGCAAGAACTTTGCCGCCCTCCTGGAGGAGCACGACATCTTTGTCCCTGAAGACGACGATGACGACGATTGACCTAACTCTGGAAAAGTAAATGGTAAAGTTCAAGTGCTTATTAGCCACACCTTATGCAATCTTTAAGCATTGAGGCTGGGACCTTTAGTCACGGTCTTCTACTGTGTAAAGGGTGTGTCAGCTGCATGTCAAAGGAAGTAATCTGTGACATTTTTCCAGTGATGACAACTGTGTTCTGTTTTTTTTTTTCATTTACATCCACAGGGTGCTTTGCAATATTGACTGAAAGCATACCAGTCGGCACAAGGAAGATGGGGAAGATGGGGCCCTTTGTCTTCCAAATAAACCCCTCTGTCTCCACCCTCTTCCTTTCCCTATTCTCTAATATTTAACTTGTTTTGCCTTCAAGAATTTATCAGAAATGTCATATCATGCGAGGCTATCACAATACTAGTTTTGGCCTCGCTCCTGTTTGCATGTTTGTGTGTGACTAATAAATAAAGAGTCTCTTATGTGGAAAACACTTGTTGTTATTTAATCTTAACACCCAAAATTTTTAATTCTGGCTCATTTTAGGCTTATCAGGTCATGATAACATATATTGCTTTTTTTCCCCCTTCTTTTCTCTTCTCTTCTTTTTTAAAATATTGGCTGGTTTTCTTTCTCAAAGTACATTTTTTAAGGCGTGTCCTCGTAGGTCACGTAGGTCAGGTCTGTCTTGCTCCCTCCTGAAGGGCAGCGTTGGCCAGTCTCAGGTGTTCATTGAGTGAGCCCATCTCCAGCTGGCCACGCCCCCTTGTGTCACTTAGCTCTACATATGCCTCCTTAAAACGCTCATAAGCGACTTCTTTCTCCTGGAATAAGGACAGACATGGTAAGCATAGTTAGGCCATTTAATTGTTCTAAATTTTTAATGTGTATTATTTCTGTGTGATAAAAGAGATTAGACTGTAAAACATACCTTTGTAAGAGATTGCACTTCATTCTGTAGACAACTGATTTCTTTTTTAAGATACTGAACTTCATTTTCTTTTGCTCTGAGTAGAGTCTGTAAGACATAAAACACAACCTCTTATTCAGTAAAAGGACTAGATGTTACAATCCCTGATATTGCATTGCTTTAAATGGAGAAAATCTTGAGGGATGGCTGTTACGAGAAAAGGCAGCCCAGAAACGTTACCAGTTTGGGACACGTTGTCAGTAGTGGACCTTGGATTCATCAGGTGTTTCGGCCATTATCATTAGACACCCTCATCCAAGGAGGCCACTGGTTTATGTTACATTGTTATTTCTCTTCTTTCTTCTCTTTAGTTTTCTACAGTTTATTTTCTTCTATCTATTCAATGCAACTAAAACATAATACTTACCTCTTTAACATTTATGGAGCCTCACTTTTTCAAAGGGATAGAAAAGGTGATAGAAGTAAGACAAAAGGGATAAGATAGCAGAGAGGAGAGCCGGATGGGGGCCACCCGATCTGGCTTCCCACACCTCCCCGCCGGATCGGGCTGTATGCTCTACCTCCCCACTGCCTCCCAGAAAAGGGAAGAGGAGAAGAGCGAAAAAACCCACCAGATCAAAAATGCAGAGCTGCCTGCTATGGTGACTCATTGTAAATAAGGAAGCAGCTGAAAGTAGGATTTACAGACAGTGAGTGAGTGCCATTTCTCTGGGAAAAAATGCCTTGTTGATGCTAGATTGCTTTATTATCATAGGAATCAAAGTCACCTGAAATAACCACTCATTACAACCAAGGTATGTAGGTATGTCTCAAAGCACAATATATTGAAACTTGAAGCAGAAGGGCTACAGCAGCAGATGACCACACTGTGTGAATTGTAGCCTGGGCTCACTAAAACTAGACAAAAGAAGATTTGAAAAACGTTGCCTGGTCTGATGAGTTTCTGCAACATTTGGTTGGAAGGGTCAGAATTTGGTGTGAACAACATGAAAACATGGATCCATCCTGCCATGTATCAAGAGTTCTTTATTATTTTGTAGAGAATAATAAAGAATCTCCATCAGAATTTTAATTATCACTTTACAGTGTAATAAAAATGGAAAACATTTGACAGGCAGGAACCTGAGGAAAAGAAATGATTCAAATGCATCCTAGATGTGCTTAGATTCACCAGTCGATTGATTCACCAGAGATGCGCAGGATGATGATGTACTTTATTTCAGCCTGTAGGTGGCGATATGTACTGCAGCTGAATGCTCAACAAAAATGAGGCCAAGAAACAGGTGACAGTCGCCACAGGGGGTCATTAAATCAGGATACAAGGCAAAAGAAAACACTTTGATCCATTTGTTTTTATGGAGTGGGTTCAAAATCCCACAGACATAGATCAGATGCTGTTGTGAGGTTCCCAGTGATGACAGTGACGTCAACATTTGTCCTTTAATATTTCCACACAGCTATAAATAAAGTTGGTTTGAGCGTGGGCAAATATATTTTTCAGCTTATCTCTTTTCATATAAGAAACTCTAATCAATACCTCTAATTCTGATGCAGCGCACTCAGTGTTGCAAAGGGATACCACATCCGACCTCTGACCTGTGATGAAATACCGCATACGGCTGATCTCTTCTGCCAGTTTGGCCTTGAGATCCTGTAACAGAGATGTGTAGCTCAGAAATAAGAAGTATTACAATGTATGTGCTTCTTTATTATGTTTCCTCAATATGTAAATATATAAGAATAAAATAAAGAGGATGTGAAGGTCATCGTTTCACTTTCTAACACATCATGTTGTTCTGTATTCAAATTCATTTGCAAACAAAGGCTGTGCAGAAACCTGGTTCTCTCTTCTGAGCTGCTCCAGCTCCTTCTCCTTGCGTCCGAGCTCTGTCTCTCGGCTCTTACTGCTGTGTTCAGCGCGGTCCAGCTCCAGGCACTTCTGAGAGTAACGCTCTGACAGCACATCTAACTCAGAGTGCAAGACATCCGCCTGGAGCCTGGCATGCACAAACACACGAGTTGTGAGGTTTTTGTGAGGTCTTAATTATAATGCATCACAACAGGCGTGTGGTCAAGTGTAGAACATCTTCAGCCTGCAGCGAGGAGGGCTATGGTACACTTACGCCTGCCCTCGGCACGATGAATCCACATGTGCCGCTCCTGCGAACGACTTCCTGGCCTTCTCCACTTGTCTCTCCAGCTCCTCTCTGTGAGCTGCTCTCAGTGCCTCCATAGCTTTTGATGAACAGTAAGTTAGCTAGTTAATGCATTTGGTAAACAACCTTAAAACAAGAACACCAAAAATAGGCTTGCAGGTGACAGCAGCATCAGTAGGTAGTACTGTATACAGTAAATACCATATATTCTATTTTTGCACCACTGTTTTGTTGCA